GCCACCACATGCCACCAGGCTGAGGGCTGCCCCGCTCCAAGGTGGGGCCGGCCCGCGGGGGCCCAGGCCTGGCGGGGGCGCGGGACGGCTCCCGTGCCGGCCTCGCTCCCTCTGGACCCCTGACCGCCCCCCACGCCCAGCCTGTCCGGACTCCACCGCCGCCTCCACGCCGCGCCCCGTGTGCCCGCCTTACGCAACACGGAACCCAACCGGGGGCCGGGCACCCATCCTGCTGGCCCGGAGGGGCGCACGCACCACCCCCTCGCCCCAGGGCCCCGACCCCTAGGCCCCAGCCTTGTTTTGTGCCGTGAGCTGTTTCCCTCGGGGGAGGTGTGGGGCTCAACCAAACCAGTTTTGGTGGAGACGCACGGGTCTGGCCGCTGGTCGGTGCAGCAGGCCACAACTCCGTTTGGGGGGCCAGTGGTCTGCGGGGCTCGCCTTGGAGCATCATCACCCCGCCTGGGGGGTGCGGGAGCTGGGCTGGGGGGGTGGGGTAGAGAGGAGGGTATGGGGAAGAGGAGCTTCTACATCAAGGTCATCAAAGTCTCCTCAGCACAAGAGACTTTTCCACTGGTCAACTCCCGGCATTTTCTGTCCAGGGGATTGGGCTCATGGGGTGGATGGCAGGGAGGCCACGGCCGCCTGGGGCCACTGAAGGACCCCTTCAGCCCAGGGCCAGCATGGCCACGCGGGTGCTGACCTCCGCTTTCTGGGTGCGGTGCTGCGGTGCTGCCCGCCTGCGTCGCAGGGGCGGAGACAGGCAGTGTGCACCGGCTCTGCGGAGCTCTGACCGCCTGGCCAGGTCACGCACGGGCGGAATCTGTCCCACGTGGGTCCCCGGCCCTTTTAGGCAGAGGCCTCTCTTGGGGACCACCGTCTTCCTGGACACACCGCCAGGACCCCCGCCCACCCCAGGCCCACCCCCACCCCAACACCTCCAGCCCAGGCTGCGGCAACCCCACCCGAGGCTGCAGCTCGGGGGCAGCACGGGCACCTCTGTCCTGGTGTCCTTTCGCTGCCCCCCGCCCCCCCACCCCAGCGCGACAGCAGGGCAGCACGGAAGACCACACACCACAGGCTTTTCCAAAAAAACAAAATATGGATTTTTTTATTGTCTCGGATGCAAATATAGTTTTCAAACTGCATTGTAGTGTTGAGTACAGCTGGTGGCGACGTGCTTCTCGGCGGCGGGGCGGAGGGCCTGCCCCGGGGGCGTGACCCCTGGGCTCTGGTTCTCAGGTCCCGGGCGGTGTGTCTCCCTGAAGGGGCCTGGGCAGCGCCCCCGAGCTCACGCCGTGAACCGAAACCCGAAGAGGGGGCGGGACGGGGCGTGTCGGCTGTGGGTCGAAGTGAGGGAGCAGCCGCCGCCTTTCTGGGCCGTGAGGGCCGGCGGGTGGCGTGGCGGGCCTGGCGGGCCCACAGCCCGGCCCCGTGTCCTGGGGAGCCCTCAGACCGTCCACCTGCGGGGCGTGAGCTCCAGGGAAATGCATGAAATGTCAGCGTCTCCCAGCCCCCCGCCCGCCACCCTCGGGAGCAGCAGCCTCTGCTCAGACGCGCAGGAGAGGGTTCTTCAGGTCAGCAGCACCCACGGCCGACTGCGGAACCAAGGGTTGGACTGAGGAACGCAGGTGCACTTTGCTACATGATTGGGAAGGAATTTCACAAAAATAAAACGCCAGTAAGTACACACACACGCACACGCACTGGCTTGTGCAAGCACTCATGCACGCGCGCACACACACGCACGCACGCACGCACAGAGGCAAAGCCAAAAACCAGTATAAAAAAGCTCCCTTTTCGGTCTCCAAGGCTGACTCCCACGAGCCAGGACAGAGAAACGGCCCCGGGCGGTGAGCCGGGAGCGCCTTGTCCTCAGAAGGGAACGAAAAGGGGCTCCTGACCCGTGCGGAGGACCTCGGGGTGCCCCCGGAGCCCCTCCGAGTGTGCGCTCCTGAGCTCCTCCCTGCCCCGGGGTCAGCTGTGGGGGACATCTTTAACGTGAGAGGTGTCAGGGCGCCCAGCTCACACCCGGCCCTGCTGCCGCTGGGCATCCCCTAGCCGCCCCCCCCCGCCCCCGGGCCACCACCCCAGGGCTCTCCTGACTCCACCCCCACCGGGCTCCGGCCGAAGGGCGCTTTGCAAAGGCAGGTCTAAGGAGCCAGAGGCAGGGGCCGCACCTACCTCGGGGCGTACAGGAAGCAGCGCCCCCCTAGGGAAAGGCAATGCTCTCTCCAGAGAGAGAGCTCGAGGCCCCACTGGTCCCCCAGACAGTGGGACAAAGACCTACAGGGGTCCAGGGGTCCCCTCGAAGGGAAGGGACTGAGGACAGTGGGCAGGGTGACGAGGCAACGGGCTGGGCCCGCCGGCCTCCTGGAGCCGGCAAGACTTAAGGCCTGAACCACGGCCGCCCAGGGCTGCGCACGAAGGGAGACAGGGGTGCGTGGCCCTTCCTGGGTGCCAGGGTCGGGAGAGGATGTCACTCACCACCACACCCCCTCCCCGGGGTTAGGACAAAGAGCTGACACCACCCCGGGCCCCACGTCCCCTGTGAATCAAAGCTGACGTTTCTATCGGCCACAGCAAAGCAAAACCAAACCTTCAGGCCTGACCTCCACGAGGGGGAAGTGGGGTCAGGTCACAAGGACAGGAAGCGTAGAAAGTCAGGTGCCCAAGGACACAGTGGTGCCGGCAACCACTGACCTCCCCCACCTCCCACGGCAGCTCCGGCGCACGGCTGCCCCGGGCCCCGCCCCTCCTCCCACCAGCGCTTGCTCGGTCCATGGACACCCCTTCCCCTCCCCCCCAGTGGCGAGGCCTCCGCTGGGCTGCCAGCCCACCCCAGGGCCGGGCTTCTTCCGAGGGGGCGACCGCTGGGGCGTCCCCCGCCCGAGAGACGCGAGGGACGGGCCTTTCACTTTTCAGAAAGCCCCAGGGTGGCCCCCGCCGCGTCCCCACTCATTGTGAAAGTGCCAGCCGCCGCGCGCGCGGGGGGCTGATGGCACAGAGAGATTTCACAGAAATGCTCGCAAAGATTTACGCGCCAGACAGCGGCGTCTCTTCTCGTTTTCGGTCTGGTTTCCGCATCATCAGCGTGTCAGCACTTCTAGGTCTTTCACAGGAGCAGGGGCAGGAGTGGGCGTGAAAGGCAGTGTAAACAAACGGCAGCCCACGGTCAGCGACCGCCGGAGGCCGCAGGCCCTGGGGGGGGCACCCCGGCAGGCCAGTCCCGGCAGGCAGGACCCGGGGCGGGTGTGCGGGACGGCGAGATGCGGCCCCGGAGCCGCATGAGCAGGAGCACCGAGAGAAGGGGCTCGAGCAAACACCTCGAGACGGGGACGAGCGGCATGGACAGACGGACATGGACACACACACACACACACACACGCACCCTTCATGTCGCACGCAGCCCGACAGCCTCAAACACTCCAGGAGACAGGGTCTGACGCCGCACCAGCGGGAGGGGGAGGGGAGAGGTAGGCCGGAGCGGAGGCCGAGGCGACATCCCACGGAGCTCTGAAAAGGCCGACGCCCGGCGAGCGGCGGCGGGAGGCAGCGGCCGCCAGCGGGGTCTCGGAAGGCACGGGGTCTGCGGGGGGGCCTTCGTGGCCACGGTGGCCGTGTCTGCCTGCTTCCCTGTGGCCCTGGGGGGGCTCTCGGTCTTCCCCTTCCATGTGAAGGGGACTTCGCGTGGCGGGGGGCGGGGGGGGGGGGCAGCGACGGCTCTCCTGCCGCATCCCAGGGGCCGAGAAGGACCAGCCCAGCCCGCTGGGAAGGCCTGTAAACACGATTTCTGGGGAGGCGGGGGGTGCCGCGTGCCGCTCCCGTGTGAGCTTGGGGCACAGGCCGGGGCAGGCGACGGGCGGTGACCCACGGCCGAGGTGGCGGAGTGGACGGCAGCTGGGAGAGGACACCCATAGCTGGGGTGGCCAGGCTGTCCCCCAAGCACCGTCCGCAGTCCTCCAGGAACCAGGGGGGCCTCCAAACGCACTGGACCTTGAGGAGGTAGCTGTGGTCCCCCTCACACGGCTCCCAGGCCCCCCGGAAGCCGACCGGGCGCTGCAGGCCCCTCCTCTGGCTGGGGGAGGAGAGCCAGCAGCTCTCGCAGCCTCACAGCAGAACAGCAGCAGCACGTCCTTTCCCGGGAGGCGAGCCGGGCTTCCTGAGTGTGGGAGCGCCCTTCCCCCGCGGCTCCTCCCGCACGCCCGGGAGGCCCGGCCGGAGCACCCTCGTGCCGTGCCTCCCTCCGCCCACCCGCTGCAGTCCCCACACCGGACACCGTGGCGCCCCACGTGTCCTCCGCCTGCTCAACTCTGAGCCCCGCGCGTTCCTGTCTGACCGGCGATGCCGAGGGACAGCGGAGGCGGGCCCCTCGGAGCTCCGCCCGTGGACACTCGGAGTCTTCCTGCGAACACAGGACGGGGCGGTCTTTGGTCCAAGAACCGGTGCGGGGCTGGCGGGCGAGCGGGCGCTGACAGGGCGAGCGGGCGGCGGCAGCACCGCGGGGCCCGTCCTCCGAACGCCGCACCCGAAGGGCCCGCGTGCCCGTCCGGCTCGGCAGAGGGCAGGGCGCCGGGGCCCCGCCGCGGGCCGGTGCCTGGCGAGGCCGAACCAGAGCAGACCGGTGCCCGGGAGGTTTCCGGCCGGGGCCGCGGCAGCTCCGCTCGGTGTGCGCGCCCTTCTCGCCCACGTGCCCTCGCGCACCCTCCGCCCTCCGCACGCGGAAGCCCTGGGGGTCCCGGGGCAGCTGTCCAAGTCCGTCACAAGGTCGGAGTTGGGGGGAGGGAGGGAGAGGCCTTCCAGCCACCGGGGGGCGGAGCCGGGCAGCGTCACTGCGAGCAGACTTGGCCCCGGACCGGGCAGACCGGCACCGGGAAGGGCCTGGGGTTCTCCCACTCCGAGGGTGGGCGTGGCCCCGAGGGCCGGCGGGGCGGGGCTGGAACTGCGGCGGCCTCCTCCGTCCGGGCCGCCCCGCGGGCGGGGGAGGCTGTGACCGAGGTCGCCGAGGGGCAGATTACAGCACGGGGCTCCGAGGACGGGCTACTGCTGCCGGCAGGACCCGAACCTGCTTCAGACCTGAGCGTGGCGCCCGCGGCCGGCTGGGCGGGCGGCGTCGGAGGGCAGCCCCGAGGCTCCGCATCCGGAGAGGCGCGGGGGCAGCCTCCGCTCCACAGGCAGGGAGGTCTCTGCGACGTCCTGTGCGCGCGCACCGCCCCAGCGCGGCTAAGTCTCCCCCGGCCTCTGGCCGATCCTGGTGACGGCCTGCGCCGCCTGCTCGGGCAGCTGGGACGGGTCCGTCAGAATGGAGGTGGTGGTGCTCAGGCGGCGCAGGGTGCTCAGCACGGCTAGAAGGCAGGGCAGGAGTCAGCCTGGGGGCGCTGGCATGGAGGGTGGCCGCCTCCCCCCAGACCCCCCCCCCCCCCACGGCGCCCCACTCACTCGGCCTGAGGACGGGCAGGGAGCAGTGCCGGTCCAGCCAGGACAGCGTGGTCCGGTGCAGCTCCTCCAGGCTGCTGGTGGACACCGCCCCCTTGAAGGACTCAAACAGCGGCTTGATGATGATGCTGAACTGCACGGCCCGTGGGTTAAGGGAAAAGGAAGCGAGGAGCATGGCCTGTGGCCCACTTCCAGTCGGGAGACAGAAACCTGGATGTCGAGAGTGTGTCCTGCACTTGCCTACAGTGTCTGCCTAACCCCGACTGGCCGCTGGGCCCGCTGGAGGCAGGGACAGGCCCCGGTGACAGGCCCCAGACACAGCACCCGGAGCCCCTCGGCCGACGCCGGGTGACGCCCTGGTCAGCCCCGTCGGGCAGGCGTGCCTCGAACACGCCGCACCCCCAGAGCACCACGGCCTCGCCTGGAGCGCGCCGGAACACTGACACCAGCCCACACCTGGACGAGACCACCCAGCAGCGATTTCCCAGCAATTTCCCCGAGCGGCCTGTGATCACTAAAACTCTGCGGCACAACAAAAAAATGTACTTTTTTTGACTCTCTGACCAAAAGATAAAAAAGAAGGGCACGTCTCCAGTTCGGTCGCACGGACAGCTCCTGCCATGCTGGCTGCGGGCCGGCTCTCACTGTCCGTCAGAGGGAGCAGGGGCCCGAGCCTCGGGCGCGGCGTGTTCCGAAAGCGCTCGCCGGCGAGGCGCCGCCGCGGCACAGAGCCCACCTCGGCAGGGAGCATCGAGGGGCTCCCCTAGTTCACCCCCCGCACCACCTCTGCGCCGCCCGGAGGCTGGAGGGCCCCGACTGTCCCAAGGACGTGCAGGGAGCTGGGACGTGCCTGACTGGACGCCCCTCCTCCTGCAAGCGGCCCTGGCACGGCCCTCCCTCCGCGAGGACCCAGAGCGCACGGCGGCCCAGGGCCCCGTCTCTCGAGCAGAGAGCCAGCCTCGCTGTCTCCACGAACTCGGCGGCAGCCCCTCACAGGGACTCTCTCTAAGGGACTGGCGTGTGGTCGTCTGGGGCGCTGGTCTGGGTGGGGTGGGCAAAGGGCATCCAAAGATACAATCCAGAACTTCCAGTTCTGCAGAGTCCGGCTCTTCACGTACTCGTTGAACATGTCTGTCATGTGGTCGCACTGGCACCGGGCAACGGGGACCCCTGTGGCTGGCAGCAGCTGCTGGCAGGAGCTGGAGGGACAGGGAGAGTCAGGGGACGCTCGCTCGGGGCCGCTGGTGACACACGGGGACCCTGGAGGCGGTCCAGGAAGGAGGGGACGACTAACAGCCCCCCAGTGCCGCTGCAGAGAGGCACCGCCCACACCCCCAGGCGCCCGCCTCACATGATGGTGGCGTTGAGCACCTCGACCTCGTCCCGCAGCCGCCGCGCCTCCTCCTGCATCTGGCCGCGCTCCTGCTGCAGCTTGGTGATGTACTCTACCGTCTTCTGCAGCGTGATGGCGTGGCTGGTCTGCGGGCGGGCGGGCGGGGGTCAGCGCGGCGCCCGGCCAGCCTGGCCAGCCCTGCCCGCCCCGGCCCACGGGCAGCTCACCAGCTTGGAGTTGTTGGAGATGAGGCCGTTGAGGGTGTCGAAGCCCATCTTGATGTTGAAGCGCCGCTTCTGCTCCGCCGAGATGTGCTTCATCTGCCGGTTCTGGGGGTCGGCCCGCCACTGTGACCGGGGCTGGGCCGCAGGGTGGGCGGGCGCCCTGTGCCCCTGCCCCTGCCCTGCCCACCCTCCCAACCTGCTGCTGACTGCTGGGGGGCAGGCCGGGGCCATGGGCCAGAGCCAAGGGGAGGGGTGACAGGAAGCTGAACGGTCCCCACGGCAGCTGGGAGGGGACGGGGACCCCGGGAAACCTTCCCTGTGGTGTGGAGGCAGCACTGAAACTCCCGGCAGGGTACAGACACCGCTGAGCGGGCGCGCCCTGGCCGCCCGCACACCTCCCGCCCACTGTCCCCGTTCTCCGGGCCCCTCACGGGGGCCAGTGCTGCTTCCCCAGGCTGGGGGAGCGGGCTGTGTCTCAGAATTAAAGCAGCGATGGCCACGCGTCCGAGGCCAGCCCAGCCCGGGTGTCCCTAGTGAGGGACACGGCTGTCCCCGGGTCCCGATGGCCCCCGCCCTCCCCGGGGCCGCGAGACCGACAGAGGCACACGCTACCTTCAGCACGGCCGCGTTCTTGGGGTCTGCGGAGCATTTCCCTGAGCAGTTGTTCTGGGGGGACTGGGGGCTGGGGCTGTGCTCCGACGCGCACGGCGAGGCCTGCCCTGAGCTCGCGCCGTCCCGGCCTGAGAGAGCGGAGACCCCCTCAGGCGCGGGTCTCCGGGGGCATGGGAGAGCCCCGAGAGGGGGTCCCGGTCCCCCCAGCAGCCTCCTGCAGAGCCGCCCAGAGGCACCCAGGGGTCTGTGCGGGGTCTGCGAGGCACTCGTGGGCCCTCTGTTCTGTTCCTTAACACGCCATGGCGCCCCTGACCCCTGGACTCCTCAGGGGTCACTGGGCCACCGGGCAGAGCCCGGGCCACCCTGACTGTCTCCTCGACGAGAGGCCCCCACTGGCGACGGGCTCAGACGACAGTGCCGGGCAGCCGTCGGGGCGACCGCTGACACAGAGACAGGCGGGGCGGCACCTGGGGCTGCAGCGACCCCTGGGTGCTCTGGGTCGGGGCTGCCTGCTCGGGGCCAGGCCTCCGGGGAGGGCGCGCGTGGGCTTCCCGCGCTCGCTAGCCCCACGCAGCAGCAAGCAAGCACACCCGCCCGCCCGCCCTATGCCAGCTGCCTCCCCAGCCCGGGCCAGCGGCGGGCGTGGGGGTCCTGGCTGCTCGCCTGCCACCCTGGGCTCATCCGGGGCCACCCCGAGGGCGGCCTCCCCAGTCCGAGGGCGGGTCGGCTCACAGAGTCCCCGCCGCCCCCACCGCAGGGACACTCACCAGACACCGCGGCGGGAACTGGGACCTGGGGACTGCCGCCACGCAGCGGGGCCTGCTCGTCCTTCACCAGGGCGTCTGGCCCGGGGCCCGGGGAGAAGAGCCGGGAGACGGGGGCGGGCTGGCTGCTGGCGGCGTGGCCCAGGTCCGTCACCAGGATGCTGCCGTGGAACTCGGCGACTCCAGCAGCCTGGGGCGACACACGGAGAGAGAGGTGACTCCTGAGCGCGGTCACGCCGAACGGGAGCCACGCGAGAGCGGGGGGGCGGGGGGGGCCGGGGGGCCGCAGTGCGGGCGTACGGAGGCCACGGCCCAGCCAGGCCCTCACCCGGGCGATGGGCGCAGGCGTGATGACCACGTTGGACTGGGGCACGGCGGAGGCCAGCATCCCTTCCTGCTTCAGAGGGCCCGTCATGATCACCGTGGGCGGCTGTCCCGCGAAGGCAGCTGCCAGAACAAGGGGGCGGCGATGGGGAGGCCGCGGGGCCGCCCGGCAGACACACGGCCCTCTGCCCGCCACGGGGACACAGCCTTCCTCGGCACGGGCCGCCGGGAGACCAAGCCACCACGGCGCCTGCTCCGGCACCGCCCCCTCGAAGGGGCGGGGCGAGGGGCCGGGGACTGCTCGCAGAGAGCGGCGCCAGGGAGAAGAGCGCCCACGGGGCCAACCGCGGCAGCACCCGCAGCCCCTTCTCACACCGTGACACGCGTGTGCGTGTGTGTGTGCGTGCGTGTGTCACGGATGTGCGGGCCTCGGGGACGGGGGGCCCCCCGCCGACTCACCTTGGGGGATGCATGCGTTGTTCAGGACCAGGGACACGGGCTCCGGCTTGGGAGCAGGCACTATTTTGGGGGGCTGCTTGGACCTCCCTCCAGCCAGGGACACGGGTTTGGGGTGCGCAAAAGTTGAGCGGGGTTGGGGAGGCCGGACAGCCGGCGGCTGGGTGAGCGGGGACAGCGCCAGGCCGTGGGCGGGCGCCGAGGGCGCGGCGATGACCAGGCCCTGGCTGGCGTGGAAGGTGGTGGCAGAGGCGCTCTGCGGCAGGGTGGCGGAGGCCGTGTGGGTGGCCACAGCGGGGGGCTTGCCGGCTCCGGCAAACTTCTGCGGCTGCAGGAAGGCGGGTGGGGCCGGGGGGCTCAGGGCCGTGGCAGGCGGGGGGACCAGCGGCACCGCAGGGGCGGCGGGCGGCGGGGCGGGACTGGGCGCGAGCACCGGCACAGGGAACACGGGGTGGAAAGGCTGCGGGGCCGCGGGGGGCCCAAAGTCCGTGGGCGGCACGAAGGGGTCCCTGGGCTGGGAGGCGCCGTCGCAGCCCGGCCTGTCCGCAGGGTCCAGCGCGGCGGCGACGGCGGGGGCCACGATGAGGCTGTCGGGGAGGCTCACGGTGGGGAGGGCGGCGGGGGGCAGGATGCTCTCCTGGAGGGGGAGGAGAGGGAGTGAGGGAGGGGTGTAGGGACCGAGATGGGCCCCCGCCCGTTCCCGCCCACCCGGGCGACAGCTCCGTGTCCCCCCAGGGTCTTGTTTCCATCAGGGACTGAGTGCTGGCCCGGGCCTCAGACACGGCGACGGCCTGCACTCGGCTGGCCCGCAGCCCGGGGATCCTGTTTCTGGAGTCCAGCGGGGTCCCCCAAAGTCCCTGCCATCTTCGGTTACAGGGCAGAGGCAGCCTGGCTCGCAGCTGCTCCTGGGGGTTCCCTCAGGACAGTCTCACGTGTCAGCTTCTGGGGAGGTCGCCTCTTCCCCGAAGGGCAACGCCGTGAGGATGCGACTGCTTGGACCCGTCTCACTCTGGACGGGAGCCGCTACCCCCGGAGCCGGGGGGTGGGGGGCAGTGCAGGGGGGTCCAGGCGCCTGCCCGAGGGCCCCGCCAGGGCACGGGGCCTGGCGAGCCCGCCCTGTGCACGGCCGGGTGAAGGGAGGGCCCAGAGCTTCTCTTCACGAGTGACCCCGCCTGTCTTTGCTGTTTGCCGGCCCGTCCGAAACGGCCTCCAGCGGGCACGTGTGTTGACGGAGCTGGCCCCCTGCCGCACGCACCTCTGGGGCGCTCCTGAGGAGGGCTGGGCGGGTTTGGGTCCGGGTCTGCCTCTCGCAGCCCCCGGCGCTCCGCTCAGGACCACGTGCACCTGGGGTGCACCAGCCCTGGTGGCAGAGGCCTCACGCCCGGCGCCGGGCCCCTCCCAGCCCCCTCTACCTGAGCAGGCGGGCTGCTGGGGTCCGGGGCGGGGGCCGAGGCGGGCGCCGGCAGCATGGAGCCGAAGATGGAGCGGCTGGAGGAGAACAGGTCTGAAAGACAGCACGGGGGGGGGGCCTTCTGAGCTCCGTGCGCCCACCGCGGCCTTGCGTCAGAACGCACACAGATCAGGCGACGACCCCCACCTCATCCAGGGCGATGCCATGGCCAGAGAGCACCCTCCCCGGCCCCCATGGGAGCTGCACACTAGCGTGGGCCCTGAAACAGACCCAGCCCTGGCACCCCACCCCCTCTCACAAAGGCGGGAGCTCAGGGGCCCAGTTCTGACGGCTGGGAGCCGCCGGAGGCAGCCGTGTGGCCGGTGCCCCCTGCTGCCGAGAGGGGGAACTGCGCAGGGTCTCGGGGCAGCTGGAGGCGCTGGAGGCGCTGGAGGCCACGAGGAGGAGACCAGCGGCCCCCGGAAGCATGTCCCAGAACAGAGAGGCTTCCCAGGCCCCGCGGCTACAACCAAACCAGAGCGCGGCCCCGGGGGGACGATTCCAAGCCCCCCCACACCCTCGCACACTCCGGCAGGCCTCTCCCCGCCCGCGCCCTCACCCTGGAAGGGCTCGAAGGTGTCCATGAAGTCCAGGTTGGGCTGCAGCGGGATGAGCCCCGGCTGGATCATGTCCGCGTTCCCCAGGTGTGCTGCGAGGGGCAGAGGGGGCACGGGAGCACTCCGCCTTCCCCGCGGGGCGGCAGGGCAGGCGCGAGGCCGGGCACGGACCTTCCTGGACCTGCTCACGTTCTAGATCCTTCCAGGGGGAACTGTGCGGGCAGCTGGCGGGGATTTCTACCCCCCCCCCCCCCCCACGGGTTCGTGGCTGCTCTCCACCCTCAGAAAGCAGGAAAGAATGTGAGTTTTCGCCAGGAAGGTAAGTTGAGCATCAGGAAGAGGCGCTGCCAGGAGGCCGTAAATAGCTCTGCGGGGACGCCCCGCCTCCCGCCCGGATCCTCAGCCTGTGGGCGCTTCCCCGAGGAGCTGACCGGGCAGCCGAGTGCGGCCAGCTGGGAGGCCCTGCCCGGGAATGCTTCTGATTCCCCTTACAGTGAGCCGCAGGCCCCGTGACCCGGCCGAGGGGACGGGGCCAGAAATGTGAGGCTGACTCAGACCAACCGCCCGCCGCCTTCTCCCGGTGACGCCACGGGCGGACAGCTGCCCAGTGCGCACGGCCGCTCCGTGTGCATGGCCATCAGGTGTCCACGAGGCCGGTCACGCCTTCCCCTGCTGCCTGCTCTAGGCCAGCGACCGCAGCAGCTCAGGGGGGCCCTGGGAAGCCTGCCCCGGGGCCGTGAGGGAGGAAGCCGGCCGGGCTCGGGAAGTCAGGGGTGCGGTGGGGGAGGGGCTACCTATCTCCCGGGGGTTGGGCCAGGCCACCGGCGGGTGTGACGACAGCGTGGAGAAGAGCGTGTCGCTGAACTCCGACATGAGCATCTCCGTGTCCAGCAGCGGGTCCTCCTCCATCGGGACAGGGGTCTTCCACCCATCCCCGTGTTTGCTCCAGTACAGCATGTCGTCATCCTGCAGCGACACGGGCGAGGGCAAACGGAAGCGGCGCTGGTGGCCTCGGCGTTCCCGGCCCCCCTCGCTGGGGGGCCTAGTCTCCCTCTTCTGCCCCACGGGGGAGGCTGCCGCTCGGGGGTGGGGAGGGTGGAGAACTGCGGGAGGGACCCCCTGCAGCCCACCCAGCAGGGAGCCCGCCCTTCCCCTCAGCCCTTTGCGTCCTTCCAGTGATGAGGGGGTGGCCCCCCTCTAGCTGCAGGGACAGCCTGTGCCCACCCCCCCGCCACAGGGCTCACTGCTGAGCTCCCCAGTCATTGCTGCTTCTCGTCACAGGGGGTCCCTGGGAGGGCCCTCACAGTGCTCCAACTCCCTCACCTGGGCCAGGCTGGAGAGGTCCTCATCCTTGTGCTGCTGCAACTGTGGAGGCAAGGAGACGGGGGACAAGGGGGTCACCACGCTCAGCCTCTCCTCCCTGAAGTGCGTGGACCCCGCAGGCATCCAGGCGTCTCCCCGCGGGGAGGCAGGCTCCCCGGCACCCCGGGCCCGGCCGAGGACACTCCCGCTGGGTGGCTGTGGCTGTGGGACGAGGAGCCCGTGCACCGCGGGAGGGGCGGACAGTGAGGCTCCTGGCCGAGCAGGCCCGAACCCCTCTGGGGCGGCTGCAGCGCCGGGCTCCACCGCAGCCGCGGGGCCGCAGCCGCAGGGCCGGCAGCGGTCTGGACTCGGGACCCGGTCCCTCCCCTCAGCGGGGACGTCCCCGGCGCGCCCTTCCTGGAGCCCGGGCCAGTACCCTCTTCTTGAAGTAGGTCCTCCACTTGTGGTACTCCCGGATCACGACCTCGATGCGGCTCTTCCAGTACTTCCCCTCCGTGGTGATGGCCTGGGGGACGGGCGCGGGTCAGGGCGCGAGGGTGCTGCGAGGACCCGCACAGCCACCCCGAACAGAGCGGAGTCCGACACTAGACCGGCAGGTAGTGCTGGCTACACGGGCGAGCCCTGGCCTGGGCTGCAAGTGGCCCCGAACTGAAGACGCGCTCAAGCCCCATGACCTGCGCTGACCCAGGGGTGCCAGCGGGGTGGGGGGGTGGGCCTGAGGGCTTGGACAGACGGAGCCGGCAGAGACCCAGGGGCAGCACCCAGGATTCCAGGAGGCAGTCCCGCCGCTTCTCCCCAGGACCACGACACGCAACCTCCGAGGTGTCGCGGGGTGGGTGGGGGCGTAGTGACCGACTCCCAAGAGCACCTCGTTCACCGAACCGCTGCGCGGGGCATGCGTGCCTCCGCGACACCCTTGACGTGCTCTGGTGACACCGAGTCCAGGACGGCCTCAGGGGCCCCCCTGCTGCCAGCCCCCGGCCACAGGGCAGGTCCCCCGTCACCGTGCCGTGCGTCTCCGACGGTGAAGAGCCCTCACAGTGAGCGACACGGTGTCACCCCCAGACCTGACTCAAGGACGTGCTCCGTGTCTCGTGCCAGACGCCCCGGCCCTTTCTGACGTCCCCCCTCTACCGCCGAGTCAGAGGGGCTCAGACAAGGTCAAAGCGATGCGGGCAGGCGCGAAGGAAAGGCGCCTCCCTTCCCCCCCACTGCACGCCCACCTCACTCCCGGAGCCGCCCACGAGGAAGGTTTCTGAGTGTCTTCCCAGACACTCACCAGGCCCGTGTGACCACAGGGACCCACTTTAAAGAGTAACATAGAAATGCTGCCATGCGACTTGCTTTTTCCCATTCCCCACCCTCCCTGAGGCTCGGGGCGGCAGCGGCGGCACTCAGCCGGCCCCAGCACCGGCCCCCCTGGTCTCCCACCGGGGGGCCCAGCCCTCGGTGGGCTGCTTCCCCGGGTGACAGCGACTTCCTTTGCTGGCCACCCCCGGTCACGGCCATGCGCCGCCTACCTCCGGCCGCCGGTGCTCGTCCACCTCCACGGAGCCGTCCAGCGGGGTCACGAAGTGGCACACGGGGTTGCTGTGCTTCTCCAGATCTGGGGGCGGGGGGGGGCACCGTCTCTGTGACGAGACCCCCAGAGGACCCCTGCCCTCTGCCCACACCCCCCCTCTTTGGTGGGGCCTCCCACGTGTCCTTCCCTTCTCTCCCCCTCAGAAAGCGAGGTCTCGGAGAACTGAAGGGGCCCGGGCTGAGAGGGAGAACCCGTGACTGGGGCGCGGGGAAGAACGGGGGTCCGGCTGGTGGAAACGGCGGCCCCAGGCGCACGACTGGCAGCCGCCACCTGGGGAGGCCCGGGCCCGGGCCCGCGTTTCCCTGGACCTGCTGGACACGGGAACTGCTCCCGGAGCTTCGAGAGCCTCCGCCGTGCTGCGCCCTCCCGCCCCGCCTGCAGAGGACGCAGACTGCAGGCGCCCTCCTGACACGGGCCACCACCAGCTTGGTTTCCCCGTCCCCGCAGGCTGCCCACGGAGCCGCCCGCTGCAGCCCAGGCCCCCACTGCAGAGCCCGGGGGGCGCACGGGCACTCACACTGGATGTACCACGCCCGCCAGATGGCGTTGTTGAGCCGGATCTTGTCCCTCCACTGCAGCTTTAGGCCCTTGAAATTCTTCCACTTTGGGGACACCAGCTTCCCGCTGCAAGGCAAAAAGGAGAAACTCAGCGGCTCCTCTGAAAAGGAAAGGACATCGGAAAGTGCCCCTCGGTCACCCCAGGCCCCCAAATTCTGGACGCGTCCGTTCCAAACCAGGGGGGAGACCTGATGGAGTAGACAGGTCATGCTGGGCGTCCTTCAAAGGGACATGGAGGTCAGGGGTCAGAGGAGCGGGCTGGCCCCGGCTGCTGACCCCAGGAGCAGGGTGAGGGGAGCCTATTCTGCCCCCGTTTATGCACGGCTGTGAGGTTTTCCATAACTCACAGTTACAAAGGAACCTGTTCATTTCATGACACACTTACATACAAAATCACACGTACCCCCTAAACTTAGACAATGCTGTATGTCAATCACACCTCAAACAAAGCTGGGGGGGAAAAGCAGCAATCTGCTGGCCACGGGACGAAAGCCACGCTCCTTCCGCCCGGCCCGGCCCGGCCCTGCCCACCTCTTCCGCCACCAGTCCCTGCCAGGCACCTGGCGATACAGACGCCAGGGGGCCTCCTCCCGCCCCCAGGCCCCTGCTCACGTGGTCCTCTGGCCTCACGGAGCTGCCGGTGCCCCGGCCACCCATTCGGGACGCCCCTAGAGCACCACCTCCTCTGAGGAGGTGCCGGCCCCCCAGGTGCTGCTGCTCCCACCTGGAAGCCCGCTCCCCCAGGCGGCACCATCCGTCCCCGCACCTCCCTCCATCAGGCCGCAGCCTCCGGAGGGCGGGCCCCCCGGGCAGCGCTCGCCTTGAGCACCCAGCGCAGACCTCGGCGCACAGCAGACGCCCGGGCAGCACTTCTGCGCCAGTCAGCTCAAGGGCCCTGCAAAGGCAGCGGACAGGCCCGGAACGTTCCCCGGAGGCGTGGCCTTTTTTTCGGACAGCCCGGTTTTCCGAGGGCCGTGCCAGGGGCTGCGGGCGCTGGGCTCCCCTTTCCCAGACGGCTGGAGATGGAAAAGACACTATTTCTGGTGCATGCCGAACTTGGCTCTCCGGGTCCTCCTGGCCGCACGCCACGGCCCTTCGCCGCCTCCAAATCCACTCAGAAAGCTCGAGTGACAGGCAGGGACGTGCCAACGGGCACGACAGCTGAGGTCTTCAAAGGCAGCGCCCGCGCCATAAACCTCGGCTGAACCCGACAACCTGGGCCACACGGCGCAGGGCCTGGCTGCGGCCCTGGCAGCACCTCCTGGCTGCACCCTCCTGACCCAGCTGGGGCCGGGGGGGGACCGTGGGATCACACTGGCCAGGAGGCTGGGCCCACCCCCTCCCGCCGCCGAGGAAATGTCACAGCACGTCCTCTTGGGGTCTGCGGGCCGACGGACAGCAGCAGCCTCGGCGCAAAGGGTTCGGGGCGTCACACCGGCCGCAGCCCCCCCCCACCTCGCTCCCCCACCCAGCGGCACTGGGAACCCGAGGCCATGCGGCTCAGCTTTCGCTGAAGCTCAACGGCCAGCGGCTGAGCGCGCGTTCCAGAGTTCCTGCCGCACGAGTGCCTCCTAACGGGGCTCTTGCGGTCGCTCAGCTTCTCTGCCACGCGCTTCCTGAGTAAGGTCTGAATAGTGCCTTCAGCTCCGGACTGCTTCCATAAGGATTAAACATGTATGCACACATACAATGGGTGGACCCTAGAGCACAGCATGAACATATTAACAGTCACCTCAAGCTCTGCCTGGTGTGGCTCAGTGGAGTGAGTGCCAGCCTGAGAACCAGAGGGTCGCCAGTTCGATTCCCAGTCAGGGCACACGCCTGGGTTGTGGGTCAGGCCGCCAGTAGGGGGCGCATGAGAGGCAATCACACATGGATGTTTCTCTCCGTCCCTTTCTCCCTCCCTTCCCCTCTAAAAAATACAAATAAGTAAATAAGACTGAAAAAGAACCACCTTAATGATTTAGACTGAAGCTATCGCCCAAAGGCCCGAGGTGTTAACGCCCCCTGGCCTGGAAAGCCCTCTCTGGTGGGAGCCACCCCGGTCACGGGCCCCTCCTCCTCCGCAGGAGGGACAAGGTGGCGCCGTGCGCAGGCTCTCGACGCCGGGGAGTGAAGGAGGCCTGAGCCGAGGTCCACCCTGAACTCCACGCAGCTGCAGAGCCGCCTGCCCCTCGTGGGGGAAGGGAGGGACGCGGCGGGGGGGGGGGTCCCCTGAGGCACGCGGCCCACCCACACACGGAGCGCTGCGCAGGGGAGCCCGTGGCGGGGCCGACCGGCCCATCCGAGCAGTCGGGGAGGCTTTCCAGAGGAGGTGCCCCCTGAGCCAAGGCCTGGAGGGCAGGAGCCTTTACATGAACCCAGGAGGGCGGGAGGGGCCGCTCCCTCGGCCTGGCCTGCGGCGGCCCTGTGGTGGGCAGAGCATGCCTGGTCACTGCGGTGGAGCACCTTGGGGTGGGGAGGGGGGAGGGCTGGAGCCTGGAGGGCCCGGGGCGGTGGGGGGTGGGGGGTGGGGCCTTCCGACCAGGCTGGGGAGCAGAGGACGCCCCAGGGCGCAGCAGGACCCACCGCTCCGCAAAGCCAGACCTCTCCGCAGCCCGAGGCCTAGACAGGCCGGCGGTTCCAGGCAAAACAAAGCAAAGCAGAAAACGGTCCCATTTCTGTATTTCCTCCACGGGGAAACAGAAACCCCACACTTCTAAAACTGACAGCTTCTTCGCTCTGAAGCCCGGGACAAACGGCCGCTGCTCTGTGGCTGAATCCAGAGCCGGCGCCTGCCTCCCGCAGAGGACGGCCGCGGAAGGGCCGCCGTGGAGGGGTTCTGCCGCCCGCCCGGGTTCAGTCCGACGCCCGGCCGAGGCCGACTGGGACGCTTCTGCGTCCGACTCAGGGTCATGCCATCCTTCTTCTCCAAAGTGTGCCCACAACACACGCAGAACTTTCTGAGACCACTGGTTTCCCCCCGGTAGATGGAAGACTCCTTCCTGCCTTAACCTCCCAAACCTGCCCACCCCCCTTCAATGCCGGTGCAGCTCCTGGCGCTTCCCCAACAGACCAGTGACCCTGGGGGCGCCTCGCACCCTCCCCCGCGGACCAGGGAGGTTGAGGCCCAGGTCTGACCCGTCCCAGCGCAGTGCCTGGCACCTGGGAGCTGCCCACGCCACCGCACCGCCTTCCCGGAAGACAGGCTCAGGACCCGAAACCGCAAGTTCACGGTGCGGCGCGGGTCCCTCTCCAAACGCCTGGTGAGCAGCAGGCGAACTGAATTCTTCAGGTCTGCCAGGAGACCGCTGCGGAATGGAAGTTCAAGTGCAAGCCTCGCACGGCCCGGAGCTGGAATTAAGACCAGGGGAGGGTGGGGCTGGGCCCGGGACTTGGGAGTCTGCGGGCCTCCGGGTGGCATCAGCTCCTGCCTCCTAGTCAGGCCATCGTCTCCAAAGGCAGCAGGCAGAGGGCTCTGGGGGCGGCCACAGTAAGTCCCAGGACGCAGTGGCGTCCCCGCCCGGTTCGTTGGGCGGTTCCTGCCTGCTGCGGGACACGCCTTTGCCGTTCCTAGACTCCCAGGAGCAGAGCATCCCCGGCCCCACCCCCGCCCCGCCCAGCGAGAGCGGGCACGTCACCAGTGAGTGTGAGGGGCAGCACGCTGCCCACCGAGGGCCCACACTCGCCCGGCGCTGCTCCTACAGGGCCCGGCGCTGCCTGGAACCACCTGGAAAGGCAGCCTGGAGCTCCTGACAGGCCGCGTGCTCCACCTGGTCGGCACGGTCACGGCCAGCACCTGCGGGCTCCTCGTCCCTGAGGCGAGGCACACCCACCACCTCGGCCGTGCCGGAGCGTGCGGCCCAGCGGCACTGCGTGCGGCCACGGCGCCGTGCGGCCTCTGCTGGCGGCCGCCTGGGCCCAGAGCTCCCTCCGCCTCGCCCCGGCGGCGACCCTGCGCCCACGGGCGGTGGCTCCCACCCCCGCCTCCCCGGACCCTGGCGGCTGCGCGCCCCCTTTCTTTCCCTGCGGGTTTGCTCCTTCCCGACGCTTCACGCAAACACAACGAAACGCGGGGCCCTCTGTGTCTGGCCTCTCCCTCGGCGCAGACCCCCCAGGGTCAACGCGCCTCAGCGTGAGTCCACACCTGGTTCCCTTCCACGGCCGAGTCGCGTCCGCCCAGTGGGCGGCCTGTTCTCCCCCCCCCCTCCCCCGGCCCTAAGCACCACAAACAGTGCGGCTGTGCACCTGGGCCTCCTCCATCTCAGTCCCCCCCCGCCCCCGCCCCGGGCCCAGAGCTCCTGCAGGGAGACAGGCCTGCTCCCCCATGGGCCGGCCCCGGGGCCTAAGGACGGGCAGAAACAACAGTGGACGCCCATCTGTGGATGCGTTCACGATTCACACCCCTGCCCCACGGCCGCACGGCTCCGACCCGAGCCTGCTCGCCCACGAGGGCGCGGCGGGAAGGCCTCGTTAGAGGGGCGCTGAGCTGCGGGGGTGCTGTCTGCGGGGCCCGGGGGGCTGCGCACCGCCTGGCTGGGCCCCGGCGGGCAGCGGCCGACACGCCGCAGCTCAGCGCCCGCACCGGGGAGCTCTGCGGGCGGCGGAAGCCCACCCCTCCGTCTGTGCCAGTCCACGGGCAAGACCCATGAGAGGCGTTAGGCGAGGCAGACCCACAGGGCAAGACACACTGCATGGCCACCGTCCGTACTTCTGACAGAGGGAGGGGCAGGCACGGGGGGGGAGGACGCACCAGAACCAGGTGGCCGCGAGACTCCCCCTTGGGGAGCCGGTTTCAGGGACTCAGTCGGACACTTAACTTTTCGCTGGTTACCCTTCCGTGCTGTTTGACTGTGACGCGGGCACGTGTGGCTGTTTAGAAACGAACAAGGAAACCAGAAGAGGCACGGCCCACGACCTCGCGGGGCTCCCGGCGGACCCGGCCGGGGAGGACGGCCAACACTCGGGCACTCGGGCCCGCCGGGAGGGGGCCAGGGCCGCTGAGCGGGGTCTGGAGCGGGCGAGTGGACAGCCCGCGCTCAGACGGGCCCCCCTTCCAGGCCTCCGCCATCTTTTCTTCAAAAGAG